GCGGTTCAGTTCCTGGTGGGTAGTTTACGGCTTCTGAGGAGAAATCCGGTTATACCCTCAAGGCAGCAAGCCTGGTTCATTTTCATGGCGGATCAGGTGAGAGAGCCTCGTATACATACAATATTCTCTGTTGCTTCTTCTTCTTCTTCTCCACTCTCTCTGCCAGCCACTGTTATCATTCATTCATATTCACACTAATCCATCTGAAAATGAGTGCAGATCTTTGCATATGGGATGATGAGTGCAGGCTCAGCAGCTTGTGGAGTCACTAACCTGAACAGGACAGGAATCAGACACACTCCCCTCCCAGATTTCTGCAAGTCTCTCCACAGCTTCTGCAATCATGTCGCTCTCTCTATCCTCTTCACCTTCCTCTCTTGCCTCTTCCTCGCCTCCTCTGCTCTCTTCGCTGTCCTTCACCTCTCCTCCATCCACTAGACTATGCCTATACCCACCACTGCTTGTTGTTACTCTCTCTGTTCAGTGTCATTGATGTTGTAAACAAGACATATTTCCACAAAAGACTGTGTGCACGCTTCCAATATAGATAATGTTAGAAAGAATTTGTTTGAATGATGCTGCAGATGTACTAGCTAGCGATTACATTCATCGTTTTTGCGTAACGAAATCTCGACTCCATGTCGTGCAAGATCCTCCTTGAGTGTCTCTGCGTTCTCAAAACGGATGCCAACCATTCCAATCTGTCTTGCAGAATCCACGTTCTTCAACCTGTCATCAGATATGTTATGGTTTCACATATATGAGCTCGGTTCCTCGTTTCAGTTATGTTGTAAAATGCAGCTCTGGGGCAGGGCAGCATTTATGTCTAGTGACATTTAAAGTGTTGTATCTACCATTGCTAAGTTCCGATAAACAAAAATGGCGTCTACTGAAGACAATCAACAAGGGTTCTGACCTGTCATCAATAAATATACAGTCACAAGGTTCGACCCCGAGGTGCTTCACCACCTTTAGATAGAAATCAGGATCGGGCTTTCTCTTTCCTGAAAGATAAACACGATGCTGAAGGCTTTGTGAAAGACAGTATTGGAAGTTCTGGTTTGGATAAACAATCGAATAAAAGCAGTAGCCAGCGGGCATGACTGATGACGGTGAGAGATAACTTTGATTGTTTAAAGCATACCGATGGTACACGAACAAAACGTCCATGATAAGTAGGCTGAGAGTTTTAGCTTCTCCTCAATCATTTCGTACCTGTGAAACAAAACAGGTTTGAGTTTGTTTTATGTAGGAAAATTTCAGCAGATTTCGAATTGAGAACATCCTTGGTAAACTAGTTCTCATGGCAGAGAAGCTTCACAGTTGACTTAGGTTTGTCCTGGACAATTTCCATCTGTTAGACATTTGATGTAGTTGTTTCTTTAATGTAATTTTCCAATACAAAAGTCTGTATCCGATTCTGTTCTAGTGATGGGTCCTTGGGGCTATGGTTCTGTCATGTTCACTATTTTTTCTGTTGTATGAGGAAACAATTGTATTTTTTACTTTTCTTTTGGGTTATAAATTGTCTCCATACAGATGAAAAAAAGGTTGAGAAGGTAGAAGAAGGTGTAAAATTGGAATAAGAGCGCACCAGACGGGATAATTGGTGAAAGCATGAATCTCGTAGTCGTCATCTCTGAGAGCATGAAGAAGCTGTTGCATTCCATCTAAGTAGGAGTATCCTGATCTCATACACTCCTTCAGTCCTGCCCATGAACTGATTGAGCCAAGATGCAACATTAATCGAAGTTCAAAGCTGAGGAAAGAAAACCAACTTACCTTCCAAATCAAAGTCCCTCCCATCTTTAAAGAACTTCCCTATGAGCTCATCCTGCCGCAATGGTCCCCAAATCAGATCCACTTATTCCCCCTCAGTTCGTATGAGGAAAACAATGGAAAAGTTGAAATGCCACTAGTAATAGTATGTAAAAGTTTAGATTTTTAATGGGGGTTTGAGTTCTTCTCGGTCTCTGTCATTGGTACCTCATCAATCAGCCCTTCTTCGAATTCAAACCATGCGGTCGGGTGCTTGCGCTCTAGCAGTTCTTTCATGGGCATCCTGAGTGAGAGAAGCAGAAGTTTAACTTTTGGTTGGTAAAGTGTGTGGACAGAAAAACAAGGCAAAGCAAAAAGTGACAAAATTTCCTCTAAAAATGCTACATTTTCCAGTAAATACCAACGGAAATGAATCTCGGACAATCGAAAATAAGCAAGATCCTTCAAAGACAACAGCAATGTCTTTGAACAATGTATCATCGACGATCTCATCTACATGGCAACAAAAACTCAAGTTTAATCAAGACAAAATATGCCAGAAATCTCATCGACGATCTCTTGAACAATGTATCACAAACCTCATCGAAAGTAATCTGAATAAGTTTGATGAACCAAAAAAAAAAAAGAGAGAGAGAACACAGAAGAAGATGCATCAAGGTTATAATCGATTGGGTAGAGTGAACAGAAGAACTGCCAAGCAAATTAACGAATTCCCCCCAATCGTACAGCAAATACAGAGATGAAATGAACACGGAAACACAAACAAAAGCATAAAGGGCTTCGGCAAAATCACACAAGTACCGGGACAAAAGAAAACACAGATTAATTTCAGAGATCCAAAAGCATCAACAAGTTACGAAACCGAGATGGGGCACCTGAAGAAGGCGGGAACATCTTCGTAAAAAGGATCGCGAACAATCGTATCCATGACGTCGAAGAGGAGAACCGGAAGCTTCCTCTTCCCGCTGGAACCGACGCAGCAATACACCGATGCACGATCACGGTTCTTCAATCCGTACAGGTGCAAGTTCCGATTAGGATCTGTTAACATCGTGGCGGAGATAGCCGCCGTCGCCGCCATAAGAACGAGAGCTGTCGTGGGAGGGAGTGGAAGTATGGCAAGCAAAACGGTGCGTTTTGGGAGGATGTAGGGCTGTCGAATATGATTGGTCCGCGTCATCAAGTTGACATCGGCGAGTATTATATCTCAGAGTGGTTGTGGAGAACGAGTGGCTGGCTTATTTAATTAGTAATGGAACGATTTGATTCGTGAACCGGTTTCGGTGTTTAATTCTTGAACCGGGTGACGTGGCAATTTTTTTCTGACGTGGTAAACGTTTAATGACGTGGCCATTGTGGATATTACGAAGCTTCCATGCATGATTAAATTGACGGTGAAATAACGCCTTGATTATTTATGTACGAAATTGGGAGGAAATGAGGAGTTAATGTATTATATGTAATGCATTTATGTGGTATATTAATATTTGACAAAATTAATATATTTAACGAGTTAAAAAAATATTTATTTAACGAGATTTTCCTAAATAAAATAGGCCTAAGCAAGGCAATTCAAGGAAAGCCCATTTAAAGCCCATTTCCAGAATTTCGACCCAACAGAGGTCGCGCTAAAATCTTGGTACGCGAGCGCGACAACGCCGGTCACTTTCAATGGCGTTCTCCCTCCGGTCGAACCCGTGCACCATTCTCAGCCTCAATCCTCTGCCGAAACGGTCCGCCATTTCTCGAAGCTTCCTCTACGTACGGTGTGGCCCTCGGGACAATCGTGGACCTCTCGTGAAAGGTCGGATCCTGAGCACTGAAGCCATCCATGCCATCCAGTCCCTCAAACGTGCCCATCGCTCCGGCTCTCTCCCGCACACCCTCCCTCCTCTCCGCCGTCTCCTGAAAGCCGACCTCCTCGCCGTCCTCCGGGAGCTTCTCCGTCAGGACCACTGCTCTCTCTCTGTCCACGTCCTCTTTACTCTTCGCTCCGAGTACCCTCCCCTCGACCTCACTCTCTACGCTGATGTCGTCAACGCCCTCTCCAGGAACGGATTACGGGACGAGATTGACCGTCTCATCGGTGAGTTGGACGGAATCGACGGCGGATACGACGCCGATAAGCCTCTGGTGAAGCTGCTGAAGGCGGTGACTGGGGCTGGGAGGAGAGAATCAACCGTCAGGATTTACACGATGATGAAAAACGCCGGGTGGGGTTCCGCCGCGTGGGAAGCCGACGAGTATGTCACCGAGGTTCTGAGCAAGGGATTACGGCGGCTGGGCGAGGAAGAGCTGTCCGACGAGGTGGCCAAGAAACGGTACAATTACAACTCTAAGCTGTAGAGATATGGTTTTTTCTTATTGTCTTCTGCATTTGTAGTTCAGTTGTTGTTGTATTCATCTCGGGCTTTCGATTGTTCGTTTCTGCTTGCTTTGTTGATAGAAATTTGAACCATCAATTCCCGTGGCTTGAGCTTCGCCGTCTTGTTCTTTCATAGTGGCATACAGATGGAGAAAACCCGAGACTTTATCTCTTTCAAACCCGGGAAATTTTAGCTTCATTGCTAGAGGAACCCACCATTAATTTGAATTCTGCATCATTTCTTCTTCTACTCTTGTGGTAGATTGTGCATTTTTAACCTATAGCTAGTGTTTCATTTCTGCAGTTATGATCGTTTTGCTTGCGCTTTCTTGTTTGTCGTCTGCATGATCATCGAAAGAACGTGGATTTGGAACTGTCTTCTAATCTGTGGATGCTTGCCAATTTTGACATCATCTCTTCGTTTAATCGGGACAGTCATACGGGGGATTCCTATGCTCTTAGCTACATTTGCAGTAAAATTTATACTTCTGCGGTACTGCTTTGTGCATTTCACGTACAGCAAGTGTTTCTTATCTGCAGTTTTAATCATTGTATGCTTTCTACTTCAGCCACTTGTTGCCTTAAAAGTCTGGTAGAGTGACCATTACAAGGAGGGTGCGACTTGGTTATATGTCTCCAATTGCATAGTTGGATTTTAGCTTAGGGTTGTTGACACGATGATACGATCTATTATTTCATTTAATCGGGAAATAGGGACAGTGAGATTCTGTTCTACATAATCTATTGATTTGCTGTTTGAACTGTAACCTTTAACAGTTTAGTTTCGGTGTCATGAAACTGGACTTCTCTTGCTTTTCTTGTTTTACTGCACAAAGATGCATGCATTCGGGGCTTTCGACATTCACTTTCTTGGTAGATGTCCGGTGAGAAAGAAGTGTGTTCTCTAATGATGGGATTAGTATCTATACGAACATTGCTTGAACGTGACTAAGGTGTTTCTCCTTAACCGCAGATATGATTTGGGTTAGGCTTTGTTGCTGTTTTCGCCATCGGTCAGTGGTTAGAATTTGAATGCTACCAGTGATGGAACCTCATGCATATGAGAGTTTTGCCATGCTTATGTGTTTATGTATGATTCATTTTGATGGATAAGATGGTGATGTATTTAGCGATTAGCCTGGATTTCTTCTCTTTTTTTGGTAATCAGGATAGTTCCCCATGCCTTCGATCCGACTACATCCACCTAAGTCGAGGGCAACTTTACTGCAATTAAATTACATCTCCTCTCTGCCTGTGGAGTCGAACTTGAAACCTTGGGACAAGCGGACAAGTGCCCCCTCCACTCCTCACACACAAGGTTGATCACTAGACCAACACAATGGTGGGTGACTAGCTTGGATTTCAAGGCATAGATATCATATTGATACAATATTATTCAAAAAATGTAACTTTAGGATGATGTCTCTATGAGATGGACTGTTAAATTAAAATTTTTTTTTTTTATGGTGGTGTTGATGCTATATCGAAGAATGAAATGACCCTTTTCCAGATTTGTATGAAATTGAATGTTGTGTAGTTTTAGTATACCGTTTTTTGAAAGAATATGCGTGCAATGACAAAATAAGTTAATTATTTTGTTTTCAAATGAACCACACTACTTGACAGTTTTTTATTATATATATATACACATATAAATATATATTTTTTATTTTTTATTTATTTTTATTTTTAATTATAATTAGATTTTTTTATTTTTTAATTAAATTCTTATCTAATGTGGTAGATGATAACACGTTAAGTTTTCCATCATGTTACATCATCCGTTAATCGATTTAATATTAGTTTTTGTCAAAAAAAATTATAAGTTTAGTATTTGTTATGGCAAAATCTTCGAATTTATATTTAATTTGAAAATTTGAAAATTTCGATATTAATACGTTAGTCTAAATTCTAAATTCAGTAATTTGTTTTGGGGTTTTCTCCACTTTTTATTAAACTTCAATCTTCTATGATTTATTTAAACAGGACATATGAACCTTGTGCATTTCTTGGGCCGGTGGGGAAAAAAATATTTTTTGAGGTAACCCACAGTCCGCAGCACCTTGGGATTCGTTAGTGATAAAAGGACAGAAATACCCTTATCGATCTTCCCAAAGCTCCTCCTCAATTCTATTCTCCTGGCGTGCATCCTCGGCGAAACTCTCTGAGAATGAGGAGGAGCGACGGAGCGACGCCGCCTCCTGAGGAGTCATGGATGGGTTCGTACGAGCAGTTGCTGCCTCGATGGCAATCCCTTCCCTCTTCTCACCTGGTATTGCTTCTCTCACCCCCAGATTTTACAGCTTTCGATTCGTGGTCGGTTTCTTTTCATTTTCCCATTTCTTCGAGCCTAATTTGATTTCTCTTTTGAGGCTCTGGGTTGCCTTTTCTCTGTCTTTCCGGAGAAGGGTTCCGTTTCGATTCTAGTTTTCTTGTGTTGGCTTACCGCTATTATCCTCTGTCCTGGTCTACTGCTGTCGACCATTCCAATTACATTTGCTGGACGGAATCAGTTTGCCGAGTTGGATAGTGGCTCCGATTTTCATGCTTCTTTGATATATGTCGCAGATACCATGTTTCTTCAAAGTTAAGTTATGCGTTTTAGATGTTCTTTGGCTTGATGTGGGTGTCTATGGCAGTCAACAATACCGGTAGCAATATCCAGAGTGAATCAGTTTGATGCCGCGAGACTTGATGTTGAAATGTCAGCCATGTTGAAGGAGCAGTTGGTCAAGGTTTTCACTTTGATGAAGGTACTCATCCCTTCTCCATTTTCTTGGTTTTCTTCTTATTTATGAAGATTGTGCGGCTGTTCATCTTTTTTCTCGGCTTCTTTTTTGGCATTAGCCAGGGATGCTGTTTCAATACGAGCCAGAACTTGACGCGTTCCTTGAGTTTCTCATTTGGAGATTCTCTATTTGGGTCGATAAACCTACCCCCGGAAATGCTCTCATGAATCTGAGGTACCGAGACGAACGGGTCACAGAAGGACGAGGGAAAGGTAAAGTTGGCCTGATAATGCGTTTGTGCCGCTATGCCAGCATTATTACCTCTGCTCTTTTCAGCCATTCCGCATTATCGATGTTGTTTTCTTACAGTCAGAACTGGACTAGAAGGGACCGGACTTACTGTCTCTCAAAAGATTTGGTATTGTGTTGCCTCTGTTGGTGGTCAGTACCTCTGGTCTCGTTTGCAGTTCTTTTCTGCTTTCCGGAGATGGGGTGATTCTGAGCAGGTGTGGCTCTGTACAAAAAATAGTTGGTCTTCCTTTTCTGCCACACAGAGAGATAGTTATTCTGTTTGTTTCCTCTTACAGAGACCATTGGCGAGGCGGGTTTGGACTATGATACAGCGAATAGAAGGCGTCTACAAAGCTGCATCCTTTATTAACCTATTATTATTTCTTTATACAGGAAGGTATGTTCACTACCTGTATTCTTGTGAATTTCATTAGGATCATCAAAGATAAACTCAAAACAATCTTGCAATCATCGATATACACCGTTGAAAAACTATGCAATACCTTCCATAATTCTGACAGTAGTTTATCTCATTAACTAGGGTTACGATTTTGTTATCTTTTATAGCTTTGCAAGCTGCTGGGACTTAAAAAGATTTGTCCATCTTTTGTTTTACCTTGCTTTGACAACGATTTTTGTAGCTTTTGAGTTCACTATGTAACAGTGAAACAAGAACTAAAATCAGGTGCAGAAATGTAAACTTTTTAGTTGTTTTTGTCTTGTTCTTGACGATCCACTTAACAGTTTCTGAATCCATTATGCAACAAGAAAATGATATGCAATGCAACAGTGGAAAAGAACTTTTTTTGCTTTGCCGTTGACATTTTCAGTTCAAAACGCAATGGCAGAAAGTAAACCAAGTTCAGATAATGAGATTTCTTGATGTTCCCAAAAGTCCTATCGATATGCTAGATCTTGAAGGAATATTGAGAATGCAATTTTTAGCTTCTAACTTCACTGTGAGATATTGATATGAAAATCGAGATCAGATGCCGAGACATTCTGATTTCCTCAATTCCTTCATGAATTCGCTTTCTCTTGATTCAGGTATAGGAACCTCATTGAAAGAATTTTAAGAGCTAGGCTTGTTTACAGGAGTCCCCATATGAACCGATCTGTCAGCTTCGAGTACATGAACCGCCAGCTCGTCTGGAATGAATTCTCAGTAGGTCCTCTACCGTGCTTCACTTACATGTCATAATTCAGTTTAAGATTTCACAACCTACATCTTCTGGGCCCCATTTCTTGGCTCTGTTTTCAGCATGTGATTGGAACAAGTCTGTGGTCTCATAACATTTTGATGATTGAGATATTGTTTTACAACTCATCTGTAGGTTGTTAGCTGATTGTAGAGGAGTTGCTTGTGTTACTTCTTTCGCTTCTCTGCTTCTTAGCTTTTATACACATTCTGTCCAATTTTGTATCTGATTCTTTCTTCTGGCTGATTTAGAGCCTCAGACTGAACAACTCTTGAACTCAAGTATGGTTTGTTTACTGATGTACCGGGCATGTGTCTGTTTCTTCTTTCATTGATTATCTACTCTATGAAATAACATTCAAAGTCCGACTTTTAGTTTTTTGAATCTGATTTTTTGGTTCTATTTTATCCTGTGACTTGACAACTCATGGGAACTCAAACTATAGATTGTCTTCTGATGTGCAGGAAATGCTTTTGTTACTTCTTCCATTGCTCAATTCCTCAGCTGTTAAGAACATTCTTAGTCCATTTTCAAAGGACAAGTCCTCAAACTCGAAGGAGGACACTGTGACTTGTCCAATTTGCCGGGTTGATCCTGCAACTCCTTTTCTTGCTCTCCCTTGCCAGCACAGGTAGGATCTTTTTCTCCTGATAGAATATTTATTTCACTTTCACACATTTTCTTGGGTATAGATACTAGCCCTATGAGGTAACTGGAAAATGTGCTGTAGTCTACATAAAATTACATGCAGAGTAGTTTCACCGAAGTTTTTTCTTTTGGGTCACCAAGTAATTTGAGCAAAAAAGATTGAAACTGTTAGCCAAGTACTAGCAGTATAGTTTTGTAGAAAGGTTCCATCCTAGGTTTTGTGTGAAATTGTGACCCGTACACTGGTATGGTCCGTGGTACTCAATATATCTCTGTGGATTCGGTTATTGCATTCTCCACATAGCATATAGAGTCTTTCCACACATGCGTGACAAATAATCGCATTTTATAATTCAATCGGATGAATCACTTCGTATCAAGATTTGATTGGCAATGCCTGCACAATGAAGAGTGTATTCTTAGTTTCTGATTCACAGATTTCAAATGACTTGTGTCAGGTATTGTTACTACTGCATAAGGACACGTTGTGCTTCAGCAGCATCCTTCCGATGTCTTAGATGTAACGAACCAGTTGTTGCCATACAACGGGAAGGTGGTGTCCATAAAAAGTTGTAGTTTCGACTTTGATCAGGGATCTGCATTACGCAAATCTTCAGAAATGCCAGTGATTCTGGCTCAGTACAATTCCCAGGCACACGGGCCAAACTGAAGGATGGTGGATAAGGATAATAGTTCTCGTGATCGACTCTCAGTTCGTGGATAATATCTATATATTTTTCGTGGGTAGGAGTCCATTGATTCTTGTAACAATGTCTTCAGTAATAATCAGAGCAAAATTTGTTTGTGGGCTTAGTGTTATTGAAATGAAGTTGAAAAAGGCTCAGCGTGATCTACCTAGAGAGAGAGGCTTCTGCTAGAACAAACGCTTGAGTTGTGGTGGAAGATGTATTGACTCTTTCTTGAGTTGCTGTGGAATATACTCTCTGGTTTTTTGAATCGATCGGTGGAAGTTTTAAGATGAAAGGGGAGATGGGTGAATGTGAATGTGCAGAGGTGAGGGTCTATATTCTCAAATGTCTATGAACTCTTTTTCTGAAGATGCCAAAGTCAGATTGAATGAAACGAAAAGAAACGAGTAAAATTCAAAGCATATATATAGGATGTTCTTCCGACATGGTCCACTCTCAACCTAACAGACAATCATCTGGCAAATTATTCAGTTAGTCTATTTTTTTCCAAAACAGAATGATGTTTAGAAGAACATGAGACTGATGAGGGCAGCAGCAGCATTAACGTCTGAGCCATCTTCTCCACCAAGAATCCACTCTTGGAGCACGAGGAGGAGGAGTGAGAACATCAAGAATGGCGGCTTTTTCTTTGGGAGTCAAAGCGACACCTCTAACAAGGTTGAGAGCCATTATGTAGACATTTGTCCTTTGCTTGTGATTCTTGTATGCCCATATTCCTGCAGCACCTCCTGCTACTATCACCTGTCCCCATTCACGACAATTTGAGAGAACCATCAGCCAAGAAACATCCCTCCCCCCCCCCCCCCC